TATTAAATTATTAAAATTTTGAGGGACAATTTATAAATAAGCGATATCGAAAAGAAGAGTTAATATTTAAAAACCCTCTCAACTATGGAGATTGTCTTGAAACCCACTCAACCGATCCAATTTAACCAAACTCCCTTATTATGAGAGGTGTTATAGATAACCCCTCTCAAATTTGGTACAATTTTAGAAAACATCTCTCAACTATAGCATGCCTCATAAAACCTCCTCTAATCTTTTACATTTCTATTCGCAGACCCCCTTAACATAGTTACTTTAATATGTGATTTGGACAAAACACCACATTGAATAAAGCAATTTTAATAAAAAAGAAACCCTCAACTGATAATAAAAGGACCACAATCAATTTACGATTCTTTTTCCCTCTATATCACCTCTTTTTCTTTCATCTGGTAAAAACCAAGGTAATTTTTTTATGGTTGGTGAATATTTTAGTCTTTCCAAGTCAAGTACTTATCACATAATATATAAGACTCCATGGTATTAATTTTAGTCTTTCCAAGTCAAGTATTAAGTGAAAAATGTTCATAGGGATTAAATCAACATTTTAAAGGTTGCAATAGATTATCTACAAAACACCCAAAACTTGACGGAGATTTACTCAGTTTTAAATAGTTTGTGGGGGAGGGGGTGGAGTGGGTTGACATGCCCCTCATAGTTGAGGGGGATTTTTCTAAAATTAGCCATTAAACAAAAGCACAACTTAAGGCACATGTGACATCAATTTTATACGAGTGGAGTTCATAGCAAGTCTATCACTCAATGAACTAGTTCGGGTTATTTGTCCTTAAATTTATCCTGCACATCAACTTTAAAAATCTTTTACTATAAGAATCTCTAAGAGAAATTTAATATTTATTTGGGATGGGTATGTGATCCTTCTGATTCCCCTTGTCTTTCATGATTTGTAATAAATTATTTGACAAAATAAATTAAGTTGATATTTTATATTACTCACGTTCTTATAAGTTTATGAAGCTCATAGCTTGGATATGAATATTGTTACAGATATTGTATTCTTCTAACTTCTTAAGCTAAAAATTTGGATGTTGTTTGACATTGGATAGATATGAATTATTTTATTAAAATACAATCAATATGAGTGCATAATATGTATAAATCATTCTCTGACTATATTATATAATTTTCTGAAACTAGAGAATAATCATTTTGACAAATCAATTAGTAGTTTGAAAGATGTAAAAAGAGTACAACATCATATTTTGGAATTGATCACATAATTATATTTTCTTTCTTGATTTAATTTGCACATTCTATTTAGAAAATTCTAAAACAAAGTTTTTGAATATCAATAATACTCGGTCGCCAGATAAACAACAATGGAAGTAAACCACAGGCGGAAGTAATTTTTTTATAACTGGACAAAATCCTTGATGACTAGATAAATCTACCATTTTTATTTGATGAATTCAAGAATTTATTTTTTTCATTAATAATAATAGTTTCTTTAGTATCGGTCCCTTACATCATTAATATTTTGAAATTATACATTTAAATTACTAATTAATTTTAAATTATTAATATATTAAGACTTTAAGTGTAACTATTTCTCTGGAAGAAAAAAATATTAAAACCACACATGGAAATATCCAAATTTTTTTATATATTACGATAATTATAAAGTTTTTTTCAACCATTTTATAATAAATAAATAAACTTAAAGTAAAAAATTTGAATTATTTACCCACGTGCAGTGCACGTGTATTCCACCTAGTATATATATACGGGGCAACAAACACAAGCTAACATGATGGGGTTTGAGAACATTAAAAATTAAAAAAAAGTTGAAAAGGTACAGAGATGCTTTAGATGCTTTTCTTTGGAATTGAGAAGGAAAAAAGAGTTCGATAGCTGTCACCTAGGCAAAAAGGGAAATATAGTCTATTGGATATCGCAGATACTTGTTAAAATTAATATAATTATAAAATAAAATAAAATTAATAAGTTACTAATTATGAAATTAGTACACAAACTAATATTAGAAAATATTTATTAAAAGTGTATTAATAAAAATGCTTGGAAAAAGTATTTGCTTGTAAGCACTAGCTTCAAGATGAATTTGATTACTTCAAAATAGGTGCTTTACTGTAGTCTAGATAAAATTTTGGATGGAGAATTTAAAGTTTAAATATTAAATGCTCAATAATTAGCTTGTTTGATTTCCTAAAATAGATATTTGGAGTTAGGAATAGAAAATATTGCACTAATGCTATCATTGATTTTTCCCATTCAAGAGAAACAAAGTACATGAAAAGAAATTTATGTTTATAGGTTAAGTCCAATGATGAAAAGCTAGCTCGAGCCTTGTCATAAGCCAAACCCTTTGCCGACCTGTACAGAATCCAACTAAAAGTTACTGACAAACAAATGACTAATAAAAATAAAAGTAAGTTATTCAGGAACGCCAATAGCAGAGCTAACTATAGAAGCATTGCAGTGTGTGCCCTTCAACCCCTTACAGCAGAGTCTTGCTTCTGGGTCTAATAACTATTGCTGCAAGAGTACAAACTCTAAATAACACACCTTACAAAATTCAAGAATAATCATTCAATATCTAAATTTTAACAAAGACCTGCCTCTACTATACATCCAATCATCGCTTTTCTAATGATATTGTTATTCCTCAATTCTCCTTTTATTAGCAAGTTGACATATATGTGGCTATTTACAATGCATATAGACAAACACATGATAACATATAATAGTATAACATATAGTTATTTTTAAACCTTTAAACAATTAGAAACTTCTCTCACCCCTTTTCTCACCTTCAATCTCACCGACATGACCATGGAGTACGCCGTAGTAGACTTATCGGTGAATGTCTAGAACAAAAGCAAGGTAAGTGTAGACCATAAGCTTTGACGGAAGATAATGATGTCACTGGAGTCGATGTTGATGCTGAAAATGATGAAGAGATAATAAAGATGGTGGTTGACAGGCTTCATCAACAGCGCATCATGAAGTATCAATGGATAATTTGCATGCTGTTCACGGACAAAGAAGAGGGTTCCTTCTACTCTTTATGTTCGGTATGGTGGCCGAGAAGGGAGCAACAACATGGTCCTTTTCTCACTATCTTTTTTATGTTGTAAAGTTACTCCTCTTTTTCTAATCTGGATTTTGGTGTGCCCTTAAATGAGTTCCCTTTGAGCCAATCTGCTCACTTCTCATCTCTTGAAGATTTATTTTTTGTTGGAGGTTAATTTTTGCTGAGGCTGCCGGTTCTTCTCCTTTTTCAGTTTAGTGTGTATTTTATGTAGAGGTGAGAAACACTCAGTGGTAATGGGATGTTTAAGAGGATTAGTGGGTGGTTTATTAGCTAGTTAATGACAAAGGGTTAGTGGGGAGAATTGTCTAAATTTGTAGATTGAAGGGGTCTGGGCTGTGAATTAAGTGTGTATGTTTTTCTTTTTAATTTTGAATCGATTGTCGAAGTTTAAGAACCTGCTAAAACCCATTTCTCATTTTTTTACTTGTTAAGCCTGATATGTTGTAATGCAGGGGCTGGATCAGGTTAATTTGGACATGAGCTATTTTTGTTCTTTCTCTCGTTTATATAAATATATGTAGAATTCTTGAAACTATTTTTTTTATACATAATACCTGATACCTGATGTAAACTATATGTTATTTAGTTAGAAACTAATATTTTGTTTTTAATAATTCAATAATAATATATTTAATTGTCCATATTACTTCTCGTATTTAATACGTTAATGATGATGTGATAAATAGAATGAATTGTATGATTTATGTATGTATGCATGAATATGCTTTACGTTTGCATGTGTTTTATGTATGCATGTATGTGTTTTAACATAGATGTGAGAATATTTTTGGAATAATTTAACATGACAACACACTTTTATAATAATATTAGATTAGATTAAATTAGATTAGATTGAATGAGGCTGATTACTGTTGTCATGTCATCATAAATATGTCACATGAGCATCATATGACTAGTCGCTGGAGAAATTGGGTCGGGAAAATATATTTGGGCCTATTTGTCTCGTCGAGCAAATTTAAATTCCTAATTGTCGCCGGAGTTAGTTTTAGTGTCAATCTTGTCATTAGATACTATTTTTAACACTAGTCTGATAATTTAGCCAATTTCATTCTGTGAGGGAGACTATCAACCTGCAAAATTTCTCTTCTTACTTGCTCTCTTTCTATGTCTCTCATCCCCTAATATCTGCACCTGTTAGAAAAACAATTTTCCTAATATTACTTTTACGTTGTGTATAGAAGTTTAATAATGGAGGAGAAAGTAGAGTGAAAGAAAGGGAAAGCAGGACAAGGGAAGGGGGGAAAAAATAATATCATACTCGGTAGTTTAGTAAAGAAAATTGAGGATGATCGAGGTTAATTTTTCGCCTCTATTCGCCTCCATTTCCTTTAAACGTTACTTATTTTTTGTCGCCGCCCTTCGCCTCTATTTCCTCTCGAAAACGAAGTGAACCCTTTCACCACCCTTTCCCTTTTCCCCCATCCTTCATTCGTCCCCATCCAAACAGCTCCCGGAAACAGCCTCTTTCCTGAACCTTTCAAATATTATGTCACAAATCACAATCTACGGATTGTCTCAGCCCGCTTCGCTTTCCTCATACCATTTCCAGATTATTTTTCCTCTTCGAGAAATCAGTCCATGACGAACTTCCAACTTCTCTGACCGTGTCCGTAAAGTCACATTATATTTTTGAGCCAGATTACTAATTTAGCAAATTCATCTTCTGTTGTTCCACAGGCTAAAGCCCGTGGGCTGCGGCCCACGCTGCGGCCCACCTTTCCAAGCGGTCATGCTGGGCCCTCAGCCACGACACGCGGTGGCTTCGGTCCAACGCCAGGTGTCTCGTAAGAACGCCCACGGACTCGTTTAATAACCACCAGGAAACAAGTCCAGAGAATATGATCACACGATTCATTTAAATTTTTTTTATTATACATAAAATTAAAAAAAAAAAAGATTGAGACGGTGGCAATGGATTTGAAGCAGCTAATAAAGGAGGAGGAGGAGGAGTGCGATGGCCGTCATCAGCAAGTTGATGCAAAATTAGCACTGCAATCATTTCTTGATCGAATCCCTATCACATCCATCCTCTATCACAATCCGAATGCCTCCTCGGGTACTTTGCTATGATAACAAATTTACTATTCTCATTTATTTTCTTCGTAATTCATCCTCATCGTTATGGAAAATGATAGAGGGACACCTTAGACACATCATCAACCACACTCTCCCCTATTGCTACTCCTCTTGCAACAGTGCATCGGCCTCACATGTGATTTTTTTTTTAAAAATTACATGTGAGGCCGTTGAAAAATCACACGCGGCGTCGTTACACTGTAGCAGGAGTAGCAGGAGGAGTGTGGTTGGTGGTGTGACTAAGGGTGTGCCTGTAGCGCCTCCTCATCATTATTATGCGGATGATGACTTAGATGTATGGGTATGCGTAACTTAAAAAAAAAGAGAAGAATGCCATATCGTGTTTCCATGAAAGATTTTAAAGTTGTCCTGATTTTAAAGTTGGTAATTGCACTGATGCAATGTTATTATTGCACTAATAATATATTAGACTGTACTGATACAATCCAATAAAATATAGAGAATCTCAGGATGTGTCTCGCAACTACGCTAAAATTAGGCTTGGACTAGTCATATCCATGTGTTAAACTGAACGACTTTGTTTTGGACCTAAATCAATCTTGTAGTGGACCAAGAGACCGGTGGTCCAAAACAAAACCAGATTAAAGGCCAATTTTGGCTAGACTTGACCTAGTTTTATTCAAACAGACTTTTGCTCAAAATGGCAAAATGAGACCAGATTTGTAACCTAATTACCTCATTTTGAGAAGATGCCAAACAACCTTATATTGGGAAAGGAGAGTGTGATCATGTGCCCCATCATAGATTTTTAAAGTTGGTGATTAGACTGATATAATACATTGGATTCTAGTGTTACAATATTCTAAAGTGATTTAGAATTGATATTGGGACACTTTTCTCCTTTCTCTTGACACACTCTTCAATAGCATACCCTCCGTAGCATCCTCCATAGCATATTTTTCCAATTTATCAGTGTGATGTATGGATGCGCTAAGATACAGATTTTGCATATTATTAAACAATATTCTATTAAATATGGTGAAATTTTATAATTTTGTTATGAACTACCAACTGTGAAATCCACGAACAAATAATCCGCAAAGTCGATCTTATACCAAATCTGAGACCATTACATAAATAGGAATCCTGTATGTGTGCATATACATTGAATCATTGTGATAGTATCCAAAAATTCTTGGAGGGTCTTCAATATTCGCATTTGATACATATCCTAGACACATATAACCCCCCTACGGGTAATCATCATTACCATTAGGGTCAACTTGACAGGCACGCCTCCACATTTTTCAAACTAAAGGTTTAGAGGAAGATGAGATATAACAATGATAAATTTGATATAGGATATTGAAATTATCTCTGGATATCTTTCCAAGCATAAGTAATGTCGGGTTTTTAAGAAATTATTCTATCGGTTAATTGAATATAACTGAAATTGGCATTAATAAAGTATTTACTGCGAGATGCCAAATATATTGCACTGTACCACGTAAGCTCTTGTCTAAATAGGAAAATCATCATCTAAAAATCCATTCAAAAGCGCATGCACTTCAAAATATCAGCTGTAGGTAGTCTTGCACTTAGTTCCATGAGCTATTATTAAGGACTCATGGTTCACTTCTCAGAATATATCAAAGATATTTAAACCAAAGTCTTCGACATGTTATTTCTTGATATCCCATTCATCTGGCAATAGACCACATCAATGATGTAGCTTTCAAATTCTAGATGTAAATCATCCCACTTAATGTGAAAGTATTTAGAATATGAAAAGTTCTGAATGTAATCTGGCTAAACTTAACATTAGTAATTAAAGCATGGCTGGGTTATAAATTACTCAAAAGCATGAGTAAAAGAAAATGATTCAAGGGTCATAATAAACATAAACATGCACTGGTGATTGTGCGTGCGCGAATCTGTGTAGCACTAAGCCTATGTGAATCTATGCAGCTACTAAGCCTACGTGAATCTATGCAGCAAACTCTGTATCAGTAGATATCTTGGACATATATTCAAAGTAATGCTTCTGAAATCCTTATAATAGGCATCTGACACTTCTTCAATGTACTATTGACTTTATAACATTCTTAATTAGGAATACTCTAAGCATGGGATTTTGATTTGTTTATCTGAGTCCCATCTTTCATGTGGTCATATCTTATATTGTCATTTTCATACTAATATGTATACAGCTCAATTAAAGCATTATTTGGAAACAATGAGCTAGCACTTTAACAGATGTTCGTTTGATATAAGAGCGAGATGCATGACACAACTATGGGAAGCAGCAAGCTATTTGCAACGTCATGGAAACACATGATAAGGTTCATCATAATTTGTGCATTATATTATGATCAATCCATCTGATGGAATCCCTTCTGCTACACCAAACTTCAGAGTTGTGATGGGTGTTAAGGGTTATAGTTCTGTACTCTAACCTGCCTCCTCTGCATGTGAGATGCTCTTTTCATTGGTTGAAAAGTGGACTCATGCAGTAGTATCTCTTTTAACCCGCTTTAAATTCGTAGACAGTGGAAACTGAACCTGGGTGATTGACGTATCATGTTAGAGATCCCTTTCAATATAGGGTAAAGGAACCTGGGTTGCTGTTATATCATGTTAAAGATCTCTTTCAATATAGGGTTGAACTTTATAGTTTATAGTTTTATACTCTAATACCATCAAAATTTTATTGTTGAATTGACTAAATGAGTACATTTTGGCATGTATTATCATCTTGTCTTACAGTTTTGTACGCATGTCGTATGGTGTGGTATATTTCTATATGTCAATATCATGCCTTTCAGTTCTGAATTAAAAATCAAATGAATTAAAAACTTACCTATATATCAAGTTATTTGCGAACATATGAGTTTTGTAGTCCATAAAAACCAAAATTAGCCATGTCGACCATTTACTTGGATGACAACCCAACATGCTATTAAACTTCTGTATCCATCATTTTTTAGGAAAAACTCTTTCGGTAATTTATTTTCGTCATATATGATAAATTGTATGTTCACTATATATGTATGGTGCCTCGGAAGACTTCGCAATGCTGTTTTGTTGATTTTCCCGTTAGAAGTGACGTGGAGTGTCTGATCTAAATATTTCCAAATGCACTGTCAGAAAACTCTGCTCTGTTTGGATATGCAATTATGGTTCAAATTGTAAGTTATGGTTCAAATTGTAAGGGTGTCGTTTTACATGATTTGATGGCATTTTACCTTCCAATGAATCGGTCAAAAGCCAATTAAACCTGATTCTGTCCCAGGACTCTGAGAAGCTAAACATTATGAATCATGTAGACGCACTATTCATCTCATGTACAGCATATAAACACACTAAATATTTGTACCCAGAAAAATTAATATGCTCGAGACCATGTAAGCTAACTATTTAATTGGAGACTTGAATTTGTTTCATAGAAGATCTGATATTTTGTTAATTGTAATTCAGATTTGGAGCTAAAATCTGATGACTGTGTTCGAGATGCAATCAGTTTGCTATACACCAACAATGTGTCAGGGGCACCGATTGTAGAGAATGTTGATTCTGATCTCAGAAAATTTGTGGATCGGGACATTGGTTTCATTGAATTCTCTAGCATGGTACTGTGGTCCCTTGAGGTAAATGAGATATATCAGTCAATTCTTTTTCCATGCAAATATTTTATATCACTCTACCCTCATAAATTCATATAATTTGATGCCAACTTCTATTGTAAATTTTACAAAACTTTATAAGGAACTCAAGAAAGTAAGAGCAGAATCGAAATCTGACGATGATGGGTTGCTCTCGGTGCTAGAACAAAACTCCCAGATTGGACAGACTAAGGTATACTTTGTGCTTGATTTTTATGTCTTTTAGTGAATACGGATTGCTTAATGCTTTAAGCTTACCTCAATTGAAAGATTTGTTTTCAATTCAGAAATGGCTTATGGGACTTGATATATGCGAGAAAGATAATTTTGTTATTTATATGGCTTCAAAAATATGCATTACTATAGAAGAAGGTCTTCAATAAGGTTAAGAAGTTATCCCTTTGATTTTCTTCTTGAAAAACAGAAAATACGACTTTCCAGAGAAAACTAATTATTTATTCCTGTTTCTGAAAAGAAAGTTCTTTTTAGATGAAGAGAGAATTTTGCTTGCCACTTGTTTGGGTTCCTAAAAGTGACTTAGATTTTGCATATGTATTCCTCTAGACTCTGATTCTTTGTTGCATTTTATATTTTGATTTATATGTGACACCACTCACATTTCTTTCATAATTTTGAAGATCTACTTTAGGCTCTCTTTTTAATTGGAAACAACAGTCAGAAGTCAATTCTGACCAAATGCTTATATTGCTTTCCATTCGCATTTGGAGCTTATATGATCTATGGTGCTATATTCTATCTGCAATTGATTTATTGACCATTTTATATAGATAGGGGAACTAGCAAAATCATTCTTATGGGAACCATTCTTCCCAGTTAACTCAAATGACACACTATTCCACGTACTTCTGCTCTTCGCTAAGCACCCGAGATTGGGAGTCATACCAGTTGTTGAGTCATCAAACTCTCGGGTCATGTGCTACATTAATCAGGTAATCTATCTATCATTAATATCTTTTTGTAAAAACACACATCCTGATATTTACACTCGTTCAAATTTTGAACACTTGCTCTTGTCCTAGAATGCAGTAGTTCAATTGCTCCTCCAGTCCAGTGGGCTCGACTGGTTTGATCAAATTGCAGACAAAAGCATTGCAGAGTTTGGGTAAGGAAGTGATAGGTGTTATTTTTATATTTCTCGGATTTCGTCTGATGTATGTTTGATGACGATGCATCAGCTCTGTTCAGGTTTGAGAAGGCTTGTAGGTTTTTCAGCGTTTATGGGGACCAAACTATAACTGATGCTTGGCATATCTTGTGGAAGGAAGAAACTGATGGAGTTCCAGTGATTGATCAGGGAAGTGAAACATTGATCGGAGTTGTAAGGCGCAGTGATGTTCATCTTCTTCTGGACGATGATGGCATCTTCAAAAATAGAAAGTAAGTTCAATACCTCAATTGTCTTTTCCAATAATTTATATGATGAAACAAATATTCTGAGCTATAGTTTCTGTTAGAAGAAATGTTAATTTCGTATATTGCACATTTGCTAGCCATGATCCACCCGTATCTGATACTTGCAAGTATATAATTTTTTATTCGCCTTGAAAAAGTGTACAAGATGAAATTTGTTATATTAGGCTTTGATTATATGCGAAAGAAGACCCAGTAGACATTTTATATGAGTGACATACACCTATATTCGTAATAAGAAATATACAATTATAGTTGTGTCATCATGTATTGCCATCTCTGATACCCCCATGTCCGTGTCAGAATATGATAGTTATAGGTAAAATTTGATTCACCATTATCAATATTAAAAAAAAGTAGACGCAACAATATTTTACCCATAACTTTGGGGAACATATTGTTGTGCGGAAATTTCGGCAACACCTCTGGTGCTCGACAAGAGAGTAGATCTCAACTAAATCCCTGTTTCACAAAGAAAACAAGAACCAAAAGCAAAATATATCAACAAAGTGGGATATCAGCTTTTCCTCTCATCAGTTCTAGGACTGACTTGTCGAGGGAACCTAAACTCTATTACAAATCACAGCACGAACAATCAATTTTAACGTGGTTTGGAAAATTGCCTACGTCCACGGGGCAAGGAGGGGGTATTAGAGAGAAAAAAGAATACAAATAGGGTTTACAATCACACAGCTCTCACAAATTAAACTCTCAAATAGGCTTCCTGTTTTTCTACTCAAAAAGTCAGCCGCCAAAATATTTTTCCTCTCTCTCTGTTGCACGCGGCCAAAAGCTTCTCTGCGTTTCCCCTTCGCTTGTACTTGCACCAAGCACAACCGCTAACGATTTCCCCCTGCTCAATCTTACACACCACCCTAGGTCACGCGTTTACTAGCTATATATAGCTGCAAGCTGTTATCGAGTGCGTGAATGTGATCTCTTCACGAATTGGAAGCGTGATGGCCCCCACGCGCTATCCGTGATCTCTTCACGCCCTCACGCGGTTTGTGGGCTCAACATTGTGGCCCCCCACCCCACGTGCTTCACAATTCTCCATCCCAGTGAAGTTTTTCCAAAACTAAGCTGACACCAACCAAACCAAATATCTCACTTGTTACGTCTAGTATGAAGTGAAACAATTCATGACAACGGACTCAATTCACAACAAGTCGAGAACCCAAATGAGAATGCAAACACTCTCCAAATGTCGGTATCAACTCACAAAATCGGCTGCATTATAAAGACTGCCTACGTATCCTCTTACCTAAGGAATCAAGCTTCACGAAGTTCACCAAATGGCCGCGAACGATCTCAATCAACTAGAAGAGTTCGGAACATCACCAACAAATCTGTGGCTAATAGATCTCCTAATGGCCCCAAAGCGAAACAAACCAAACGCCTCCTCCTGATGTGAACCAATTATCATATCCAAACTACGTCTACCAGCTGCACTCGAATCAAACAACTCATCATCTGCATCCAAATCCAAATGATCCCCAAACTGTGTCACCTCAGTTAGAATCCCAAACGATATAGTATAATCTGGAGTATGTGGAGTAATCTCCACCCAATGTGAAGTAGCATCACTCTCCACCTGCTGTGATACCTCTATGATCTGTCCAAAACTCTCCACCTGCTGAGAGTCAATAAGCTCCCTCATCGAAGCCTCATCCAATGTGATATTATCAGACCAAATATCCAATTGAGTTTTACCCCCAATCGCAGCAATTGACAACTCTTTAATAGGATGACCCAAATATGTCGAAGCCTCAGACCAGAAACTCTTCTGCAGATCATTGTTTGACAACAAACATCGATCCTTCTCCAGCAAGGCACGATTCTCAAAATTTGCCACCCTATCTAGTTGCCTCAAGATTTTCTTTCCAACGAAGTGTCTCGAAATGCCGTGAGCTCGGCTCTAAAACAGAAACAGGTCCATCTTGTACCTCCCACGAAAATATAAATGAAGTACCTTCACCTTTTTGCTAATCTCACACTTCTTCAATCTGTTAGAGACTACTAGGATTTTATCTAAAGGAGATTTGGTTGCAACCCAAACACGCCTAGAACAGCCATCAATAAATAAAATCAAACATCTATTTCCTCCCAATGATGCCTTCTGGAAGGCTCCTAAACATCCACGTGAACCCCATCTGAAAGACCCTCCGTGCGGTGAATAGAGGTGCCAAACTTCACCTCGGTCTTCTTACTCACATCAAAGTGTTCATTGGATTTCAAATTGCAGGTCGATGCACCCATCTCCAAATCAATACTGGAATGACAAAGCCCTAAATACCGCAGTCTAGTCGAATCAATAGAAGTCGCCCGCTCTCCACTTGTCACTGTATCTCCAATCAAATAATACAAGTTATTCCTCCTGACACCCTTCATCACAATCAAAGAGTCTTCTACAATCTCGAGAACCATGTCCTCAATACGAACCTTCAGACGCTCTCCAACCAAAGCTCCAATTGAGATTAAGTTTTTCCTCAATGAAGGAACATATCTCACATCATATAACTCCTTAACAGTCCCGTCAAACATCTTGATGCGAATTCTTTCTATCTTAAGGATTTGGCATGCACGGTTGTCTCCCATGTACACCACACCACTATCTAGTTTCTCAAAATTGGAGAATCATTTCCTTTTAGGACACACATGATAGGTCGCACCATTATCCAACATCCACTCGGATTCCTCTGAATAGCTACCTGTAGGACTGATAGAAAGCGAATAAATAGAAGTATTAGAAATATTACCATCTGATATAACGATATTTGCTTCTGATGATGGTTGCTTCCCTTTATCCTTCTGTTTATTCTTCATCCATTCATCGAGCTTTGGACAATCTTTCTTTTAATGACCAGTCTCCTTGCACCAAGCACACTAATCTTTTCTAACTGTAGGATGTCCTACTCTAGACGGTGACTTCCAATTCTTTCGGTTTGGATTCTTCCCTCTTACGACCAATGCTTCCGCTACCGACTCAACTGAAGCCTCCTTATTTTTTTTTCGAAGCTGATAGTTCACAAGTACAGCGGTGACCTCACTATACGAAAGGGACGTCTTCCCATTAATTAGGGTAAGAACAAAGGTCTCGTATTCCTCGTCCGGTAAGGAACTCAACAACAGTAACGCCTTGTCCTCATCTTCAATCATAACATTCAAATTCGCTAAATCCGCAAGAAGATTCGTGTAGTGGTTTATGTGATCACTAATGGAGGTTCCCTTCTTCAATTAGAAGCGATAAAGCCTCCTCTTCAAATACAAGCGATTTTCCACACTCTTGGTCAAATACTTGCTCTCAAGGGTCTCCTAAATCTTCTTTGCAGAAGTCTCATTCATCACATCATACTTTAAATCTTGTGTTAAACAAGACCTAATAACATCACACGCCGTCTGATTCATCTTTTTCCAAACATTCTCTTCAATATCATTTGGTTTGCCATCCAACTTCAAAGTGTCTTCCAAATTTTGCGCGTTCAGCGCATCCAAAACTTCGCATCTCCAAAGTCTAAAGTTGTTCGTGCCGTTAAATTTCTCCACATCTATTTTTGTAGAGCGGATATTCAAACTTTGAATGATCTTCATACCAGAAGCACCATCCTCAACACCTTTTCCGGCCATATTCCTCAACACACCAACAACCAATACAGAACAAACTAAAGAATAGATCTAAACTTGAGAAAGATAGAGTCTTTACCAAAAAGATCTCACATTTAACTCCAATTGAAACCCTAGTCGAGCTTCCAAAGCGATCTACTCCACCAAATTACCCAAGCGTAGCCCGAGCTCTGATACCACTTGTTGTGCGTAGCGGAAATTTCGGCAGCATCTCTGGTGCTCGACAAGAAAGTAGATCTCAACTAAATCCCTGTTTCACAAAGAAAACAAGAACCGAAAGTAAAATATCTCAACAAAGTGGGATATCAACTCTTCCTCTCATCAGTTCTAGGACTGATTTATCGAGGAAACCTAAACTCTATTACAAATCACAGCACGAACAATCAATTTTAACATGGTTCGGCAAATTGCCTACGTCCACGGGACAAGGAGGGGGGATCTACTATTAGAGAGAAAAAAGAATACAAATAGAGTTTACAATCACATAGCTCTCACAAATTAAACCCTCAAATAGGCTCCCTGCTTTTTACTAAAAAAATCAGTCGCCAAAATATTTTTCCTCTCTCTGTTGCACCCAGGCAAAAGCTTCTTTGCGTTTTCCCCTTCGCTTGTACTTGCACCAAGCACAGCCGCCAACGATTTCCCCCTGCTCAATCTTGCACACCACCCTAGGTCACGCGTTTACTTGCTATATATAGCTGCAAGCTGTTATCGGGTGCGTGAACGTGATCTCTTCATGAATTGGAAACGTGGTGGCCCCCACGCGCTATCCGTAATCTCTTTACGCCCTCACGTGGTTTGTGGGCTCAACATTGTGGCCCCCACCCCACGTGCTTCACCCATATCACATCTGACATGTATTCTTTCTTCTACCGACTATAACTTAGTAGAGGTTACCATCTTAAAAGCCGTAGTTAACCATACATTTTATTGATGTGTGTCAGCATGGTATTTTCTACCTTTCACGTAGTGGTCGGTAAAATTTTATTGTTGGTATCATGGTATGTGTTTCAAAGAGTGCAATGATTTCTTCGTGATTTTTGTAAATTTCAATATGCATAGGCCTACTATTTCCTACCTTTTACAAAAAGAGCAGTATATTTGTTGAAGAAGTTTGGATAACAACGATTGATTGAAATGAAATGTAGGCCGAATATCAGAAAGCCCCCTTAACTTGAATGATTATCAGATAACTCCCCACCAACAAAGCTTTCAAATATGAAAAACTCCCTTAAGTTTGGGTCATTAGAAAACCCCCTTCAACTTTAAGATTCTATCATACCTCCCCCGCCCCCCCCCCCCCCCACCCCCCCAAAAAAAAAAAAAAAAAAAAACACCACCAAAAACCCCACCCCTAATAGCACTAACATCAATTTTCACTGGCAAAAATGCCCCCCTGCCTACTTTTACCCATCCATGTTAGATAATGTTCATGACAACAGCTAAAGATCACGCGAAAGAAAAATAGAAGAGAGGGAGGAGTAGTGACATGGAAATCTTCAGGTTATGCTTCTTTTTTAAGTATTTTTCTAAATCTATAACAAAACATCCAGTCCTACTCATATAAATCAATTTACTTCAATGTTTATGTTTCATTTGCAGAAACATAACCATCGAACAATTTATCAAAACACATTCAAAAAGTCATCAGAAACCCAACATGTCCACAGACAACATCAGCAAGATGCAGCTTTCTTCTTGTGCTCTCCTCTTGGAGCACGACCTCCTTCCTCGAGCAAACACAGTGATAACCAATCAGAAATCTGACTCACTTAAACAGGTGATGAAAAGTTTGGTCGCATCAAATAGCTCGCAAAGCTTCTTGGTTAACGAATCAGGAAAATTAGAGGGTATTTTGACACTCAAAGATGTTATCTCTCCCTTCTCTCCACCGTCTCTGGATTCAAGGATCAATGGAGGTGGTTTTTTCAACGCTGCTCTAGAACAGGCTGACTGTCATGTGAAAGATGGAACACTTTTCTGCAATAACTAGCCTTCTAGGTGTTTTTTTTTGTTGCAAGGACATTAGTGCCAACAAATTGCCTGTTGGTACACGTAGTTCTAATTTTCATTATCTTTTATTTTTGGTATTTGGAATAATAAAAAAAGGTTGTAAAAATGGCCTCAACAGCTGAATGAGGAGATGAACATACTCCCTGCATTGTTAATTGTATTTGTGGGTCAAGTTTGTATAATTCATGTATAGAAGACGGATCTTTAGACTACAAGCTTAATGCATTGTGAAGCAGTTTGTAGCCACGAACAGGAAGGAATAAAATAGTGAAAACACGTACAGGCTACTGACATTTTGTGCATAACGGGTCCAAGAATAATAGATGTAGATCACACAATAGAATATTTATGGAGGTCAAATACCAAGAATAAAACAGCCAGAAATCTGTCGCTTATATTTTCGCAAGAGCAACAAATTGATAGTATCACAACGAGAGCATATTGCAGCGTACAAACAAATGTATTGTTACAAAGTAGCACAAATAAGCGAACAGCGGGGTCCTGATAACAAATGTCTGAAATATCTTCTGGCAACCTCCAGAGAACTTTATACCGCGCGAATACCCTTAATCTCCTGATTCAGTAATATCTCCTGAGAGTCGAGAAATTCAAATATCAGTTCGAGACGCTTAGCTTTAGTCGAAAATAAAGTGCAGAGATGTGGGCTTGTGGAAATTAATATCTTGATTCTTGCTTCGTGAGTGAGGAAGCGAGACTATGGAGAAAAAACCAAAAGTTTGTGATTGCATCTGCTTACCTTCACTTGTTGAGGTTTTAATGAATTGTCGATTTTTACTCTTTAAGTTATATTAAAAAAGTTTCTTTTAGCTAGTGCCTATAGCGGAACCCGGTGCTTTCTATATGACTCAATCCCAGCACCCTCCTGCTGCTCAGCAATTTGTATCCCGATACTAGCACAACTGTAGAAATGATGCAAAACTCCCAGATAAAAATCCTACGGTCATTGGAATAATGAAATAAATGAAATCCAAAGGTCTTTGAAACAATTTAAAAAAATGAAGTATGATCGAAGTTTATAAAGAAGTAAACATGAAATGTGCACCGACGGTTGGTTTTTAAAGGGTAAACTTTAAGACAAAAAAAAAAAAAAAAAAAATCCTTTGGGAGGTTTTACACAAAATCCCCCCTAACTTTATGAATCATAGAAACTGCCCGTGAGATTCTCTTGCTTAATACCAAAAAAAAAAAAAAAAAAAAAAAAAATCCTTTGGGAGGTTTTACACAAAATCCCCCCTAACTTTATGAATCATAGAAACTGCCCGTGAGATTCTCTTGCTTAATACCATAACTGATCAGTTACTTTATGACAAGTACTCTGCACGTGACCGTCCTTGGAAAAAATCTACCCAATCTACTAAACATAACTTTATACCACCCTTTTCGACTGAGGTAGGCAAAAACTAAAAGTGGTAGTCTAGACTTTTTAGTTTTTACTCTACCCGCTAATGCCTTATGACAGTTTTCAATATGCAGTTCTGGGGGTTCGGTATAATTTTGAATGTTCAAGGGGGTAGTCTACAGGGGGGATTTGTTCCAAAGCCCCTGAAGTTCAGAGTGGTTTTGTGAAATTTCAAAACATAACTTTATGCTAATAACAGAGCGATTAAAACATAGATGGTAAAAGTGGGAAGGAACATACAGATTCAGCACCAAAGCTTTATATCTCCATCTGTTAACCATATCATATCCACCTGCAGCTTAACGTATCCTTCACGTATTCCAAACGACAGAAGACCCCCTTTTCCGAAACTCGCAAGGACGAAAATTGGTCACTTGTTTACCCATCAATGCCATTGCAGCCAGACTTGGGATTTGCTTTGCTTCTAACTTTTCAGGCAATACTTTTGAATTCTCAGGCTCACATATCACTGGCATGGATGAAGCTGTTGCTTTACTATTTCGACACCATCTCCGGATCCAAGGAATTACTTTTGAATCCGACGGAGAGCATTCACCATTTTTAGGGAAGAATGTTGTTTTATCAAGTTGGCGACACTCGGGCAGATCGGAGATAGATTTGTTGTAAGTCACTGCTCCACCGAGGAGATTTTGCATTTTGCCGCCAGAAGAAGCATCTCCCTTTTTTAATCTCTTGCTACATTGGGATACAGGATCCAACGAATTTGAGCGGAGACGCTTAACCCATTTCCAGTTTGGTTCAGTTGGAGGATTGGATGGTTTCCCTAACAGGGAACCTGTGCTTTCTGCCCTGGATGTATCTGCTGGTGTCTCAGAGCTTTTCAAGTTACCATGCACAAGATCCTACAGAATCGGAAATATTAATAGAATCATTCAGGCATCTTGTAAAAAATAGCTTTCAATATGGTTTCTGTAGTCATGGACTTAAAAGTTTGATAAATTGTTCCTGGGTCAGAACCCAACAGCTTATTCTTTTCTGTGTAGGGATTCAGAAAATTTTCTTTTGGTTTTTTTTAAACCTAAACTAAAAATATAATATTACAAAACTATAGTATCTGATGTGAATGTACTTATATGATACTTTATCATCGGAAATACAAATGGGCTTTTACTTTTCAATTGGCTAAATCAAATTGTTGTTAATTCTGATATAAAAAACTACAAGATATTAAACGCAATTATGTAAATGTTATTAGAATATATGTATAGATATGGTATAGATATATATGGTATAGTTGACTATCACTATGATTCCTAGAATCAGGGGATATTATTATTACTTCCTTGTGTAGTTCCTTCTCTCCCTATATAAGGGACCATTGTATTCTTTCATTAAAAAGAAAAATAACATAACATTCTCTCAATATTCTTTCTCTATACTCGTCAATATGGTATCAGAGCTATACACGACCCAAAAACCCTAGCCACCTCCTCAGCAGATCCGACGACATCTGACAGCCCCTCTTCACCTCCGACGACAGCCCAACAACTCCGATCTTCCGCTCATCTCTAGATCCGACCGCCATCCCCCTCAGCTCGCTGCCGCCCTCCGAGCTTTGCCGTCGAGCTCCCTCCCGAACCTCAGATCCGACCAAGCTTGACGACGAACCCCCAACGGGCTCAGATCCACCCTCGACCCCCACCTACTTCGCCGCCTCCGACCTCCATCAGCGCCGCTCCTCAGTCCTGCAGTCCGCTGCTGTCAGCCACCCACGTTAGCTGCCCCTCTCGCCGCCGTCAACTTCCCCCAGCGCACCGTCAGCCCCTGCAGCCCTCGTTGACGAGTTCCTCCGATGAACTCCGCCGTAGTCGATGGCTCTCGACTCCACAAACATGATCAGTTCATCAGGGAAGGATTCTCATCTTATTATTCAGACCGAGGGCTCCTCATTCAACATTGGCCTTCTCCCGGATGAAACCAATTATGACATATAGTCTCAACTTATGGAGATGCATATTGCCGAGAAACAAAAATTCTCCTTTATTAAGGGCTCTAATCCCATACCGAAAGAAGAAACGTCGGAATTTGATAAGTGGTCTCCTGATAACTTGCGAGTGGAACACTGGCTCTTGATGTCTATGAAATCGGAAATGATGAAGCGCTACATTCGTATTCCTACAGCGCGCGAAATTTAGAAATCCTTAGCTATTGCATTTTATGATGGGGCTGATGAACTACAGGTTTTCTCTTTGAACCAACGAGCCTTCACTGCCAAACAGGGTAGGCGACCACTATCTGAATTTTTATGGGGAACTGACTGAGATATTCAGCGAGTTGGATCACCGCGATAAGGTGGTTATGGAGAGCCCTAATGATGTGGAGTCTTATAGGAAATCTATTCAACACTTGAGGGTGCACATCTTTCTTGTCGGATTGGATAATGATCTTGAACAAATCCGGGGTGAGATTCTGCGAAAAGATCCCGTTCCTGAATTAGAAGAGGTCTATGCCCTGGTTTGACGAGAAGCTCTCCGACGACAGGCAATGACAACTGAGAAAGATACTGCAGCTATGATAGCCCGTAATCAAGCCACCTCCACTCCCAATTGGCGAAACTCGGAGAGACGAATCGGATCTGGAAACCGGACAAATGAATCTCATTTAACTGCTCGGGGTTTAACTTCCAAATATCCTCCATGTTCTGTCTGTGGGCTGACAGGACACTCGAAAAAGGGATGCTATAAAATCATCGGTTATTCGGATTGGTGGAAGGATACTCGCAACCGCCGGATAAATCAGACCACAGATGGAGGTAACAAACAGGCCTCGGGATTACTCACAGCCACAGGTACATCTGGTAAAGCTTTACATTCTGTCTCTGTTTTGAATAATACATGGGTGATTGATTCTGGTGTCACTGATCATACGATATCTAATTCGAAAATGATTACTACTATTACCCCATCATCTCAGATTTTTGTTTCCACAGCTAATGGTGCTCCGGTTCCCGTTATGGGAAAAGGACTCGTTAATCTAACAAACACCATGAACCTTAACTCTGTCCTAGTAGTACCATCCTTAGATTATAACTTATTATCTATTTCTCAAATAACTAATGTTTTACATTGTGTTGTTATCTTCTGACCTTCTCATTGTGTTTTTAAGGATATACAGACGAAGAGGACGATTGGTTATAGCGTTAGGCGTGGAAAGTTGTACTACCTGGACCTAGAGTTGAAGAGCACAGCCCTGAACACTAGTACCCCTGGGAAGAAGATTATAGATGATCTTTGGCTGTGGCATCATCGGTTAGGTCACACATCGTTTGGCTACTTAAAGAAACTATTTCCTCATTTATTTAATAAAGTTGATTGTTCTGTTTTTCATTGTGAGGTTTGTGAACTATCTTAAAGTCATTGAACTTCCTTTATTTAAACCTTCAATGAATAAAAGTTCAGTTCCATTTATGCTTATTCATTCTGATGTATGGGGTCCCTCTCCCCTTTCATCTTTAAGTGATATACGATGGTTTGTCACATTTATTGATGATTGCACTCGAATGACATGAGTGTGTCCTATGAAGTCCAAGGGTGAAGTTAGTAGTTTGTTTCAAAAATTTCATAAACAGATCAGTACACGGTATAACACTACCATTTGAGTTCTTCGTAGTGATAATGATGGTGAATATATGGGTACCTAGTTACAGGCATATTTCAAACTTCATGGCATTGTTCATCAGACTACCTTTACATATACCCCTCAACAAAATAGGTTGTCGAATGGAAAAATCGCCATCTGTTAGAAGTTGTTCGGTATCACTAATCGGGGCAAAGACACCTGTATCTTATTGGTGTGAAGCTTTCTCCTCGGCTGCTTATTTGGTGAATCACATCCCTTCCGCCACTCTTGACTTTCAGACACCCTTCGAGGCCTTAGCTAAAATTGCCTCAGCTCTTACCATACCAAATCTTCCTCCCCGGGTGTTCGGATGTGTTATATTTGTTCACTTACCAAAGAAGCAACGGAACAACTCGAACCTCGCGCCCTCAAGTGTATTTTTGTTAGGTATGCCTCATCCCAAAAAGGTTATCGGTGTTATCATCCTCTCACACAGAAAATGTTTGTCACCATGGATGTGACATTTCATGAAGATACAATGTACTTTGAACGGGCTGAACTTCACGGGGAGAAATTATAAGGAAGTTCAGTTATTTGGAAATACTAGTGAGGAAGAGATGAGCTCAATAGAAGTGCTCCTGACTTTGACTTCAAGCTCAACACCGACAACTGAGACAACCGAAGTAACACCATTTCTTGATATGGCAACAATAACAACCCTGCCGAATGAAGTTGTGCAGTCCCCACTTGACTCGAATAACCAATCGTCCGTTTCATATGTCCCTGAAACTGAGTCCTTCCAGGTATCACCTTCTTCTATTCCTAGAAAATAACTTCCCAACCCCAAACCCACATATGATCCAGACTTTACAAGTAAAGCCAAATATCCTATGAGTAATTATGTGTCTTATGATCAGTTAACTGTATCTAACAAATCCTTTGTGAATCAATTATCTTTTGCATCTATTCCTAACAGTGTGCAGGAAGCTTTATGATCAGTGATGGACGAGGAGATGAAATCATTATTAAAAAATAACACATGGGAATTAACCGAGTTACCAGTAGGAAAGAAGAGGGCGGGATGCAAATGGGTGTACACTGTGAAATTCAAAGCAGATGGAACAATTGAAAGATTCAAAGCAAGACTAGTTGCAAAAGGCTACACACAGGCACACGGGATTGATTATCTGAAGACATTCGTACCCGTGACAAAGATCAATACCGTGCGGGTGTTACTCTCATTAGCTGCTAATTTGGACTGACCTCTACAACAATTCGATGTAAAAAACGCTTTCCTACACGGAGAGTTAGAGGAGGAGGTGTATATGGAGTTCCCATCTGGATATAAGATCCCGATTGAGCATACAAATAAAGTCTGCAAGTTAAAAAAATCCTTGTATGGACTAAAACAATCTCCCAGAGCTTGGGTTGGGAGATTCACAAGATCGATACGAAAGTTCGGGTGCAGTCAGAGTAATTCTGATCATATTTTGTTTTTAAAGAAGAGTCATGGGAAGATTACGACACTTATTGTCTATGTCGATGACATGATCCTCACAGGAAATGACCCTCATGAACAACAGGTATTGAAGAAGTACCTATCTTAGGAGTTCGAAATGAAAGACCTTGGGGACTTGAAGTATTTTCTGGGGATCGAGGTGTCTAGGTCATCAAAAGGCATCTTCCTATCTCAGAGGAAATATACCCTAGATTTACTAAATGAAACTGGATGTCTGCTTGTCAACCATCAGAGACTCCAATGGAAGGAGTGAAGTTGGAAGTTGAAACAGATCAAGTGCTCGTCGATAAAGGGCGATTTCAAAGATTGGTGGGGAAATTGATGTATCTGGCACATACAAGGCCTGATATATCATATGCATTGACTACTATCAGTCAATTCCTGCATAATCCAAAGGAGAAGCATATGCAGGCAGTTATGAAGATGATCGGCTATCTTAAGGCAGCTCCTAGAAAATGAATCCTGTTTCAAAGAAATGAGGGCTTCCTGAAGGTTGAAGGATATACTGATGCTGATTAGGCGGGAAATATATGTGACCGAAGGTCTACATCAAGGTACTTCACATTTGTAGGGGAAACTTGGTCACTTGGATGAGTAAGAAGCAAATGTGGTATCCCGATCAAGCGCAAAAGCAGAATATCGAGGAATGACAGTCGGTATCCAAAAGTTATTGTGATTGAAATTACTACTGACAGATCTAGGTTTCCTCCAAAATAACCTATGATGCTATACTGTGATAACAAATCAGCATGCGATATCGCACAT